GCAAACCGTGTAGTCGATGTCTTTCTCGGCAGATCCCCTGCAAATCCCTTCCAGATCGACGACGTCAGCCGCGTCCAATGAATACGACCATGGTCCGTTGCTTGTCCGACGAAACTGCAACACCACTCAGGCGTCCAGTAGATGTAGGATGGGCTCAGTCAGCTCGGGATATATATCTTACCGATCGACAGCTGGATGATTATCCTCCCTCGGTTCCTGGGTCCCGAGAACAGGTGTCTCCTCTTATGTCTCCGACCCGAAACATACTAGAATTTACTTCTGATTGGAGCTTAGACCTAAATGAGAGTGACTTAGTCAACCTCGGGGAACTGACGCAGTCCTTGACTGCGGCTGCGACAGGTTTGGCTTCCAACTCCCCAGGACCCTGTCTTCGTTATCCATCAGCACATCGCAACGGTAGCGAGAGTCTAGTTGTCCTACAATCTTGCCGAGGTAGTCTCCTTGCCTTTCTGTTCAACACAATCAAACAACCTCAAACCAAAGAAGTACTGGCAGCGTTCGTATATTCATCAATGCTCAACAGGACGATTGAGGCGTTCATTCGCTCCCAGACGAACACTGAATGTGGATTCATACATACGTCCTCATACAGTCCTATTGACTCAGCACCGATTTGTTTGCTGGCTTCGGCCGTTGCTTACGGGGCTACACGCTGTGATATGAGGTCACTTCAGAAATTAGGACTTATACTGCAAGATGCAGTCTGGGCAGAAATTTCCGCTGCACTGGATAGAGGTTCCTAATAATAAAAAAGAAAGCTATATTAAGATCCTTTAAATTTTTATTAATCAAAATAATAAATTATTGGGCTTTGTGATAGGATCTACTTGTCAGGGTAGAAAGCCTGTTGACTAGTTAAGGAATTAACCACTAAACACCATGGATTTGTCTAGTAATGACAAAGGTAGCCTATATCCACAGAATAGACTGATCCTTGAGGGATCAGTGGTCTATTAGCAAGAACCAGTGCCTTATAGGCGCCGGAAGGGTGCGGATCCGCTGCCGATGACCCCATGACTCCCATAACTGCCATAATTTGTCATCCTAGGTGTCCCGACCATGATACTCAAGTTATTCTATCACACATAATTTCCTAGTGCTTTATAGATCTGCTGCACTTCGATATTTTGAACTTGAAGGAAAGTAGTACTACAAAGAAATAAAGTAGAACACGGTCATCCCTAAATATTTCAATCAAAACCTGTACCAAATCGTATACTGAAGTAGACTGAGACTGTATGATTGGCGGTAGCGTATCCACGGGAGGGAGAATAACCAATGCCTAAAGAAGTAATCCACCCGATATAGAATGTTTTCCTTCCTAAAAGAGCTATCGGGCCGCCTGCCTTCAGAGCTCACTACGGGACCCGACTATTAGTAAATAAATCGTCGTACGGATACTTTTCAATGTCAAAGTTATACCGAGTCCGACTAGTGGATCGCTAGAGGGACTCCTGATTGATACGTTCGGAAACTTTTGAAGTTTCGAATCTGCTTCTGGCGCTCATTTCTAATCATGTAGTCCTGTTGATGTCATATTTGCGCCCGGCTCATCTGAGGTATACCCTACAGCAAATATATATAATCCTTCTTAAGTTACTCAAATCAAAAGCAATCTCTAATAATTGCCCGGATCCTAAGGCATAGTACTCTGCTTTATCTCCTCATCAATATGGCGGGATCTCAACAACAGACCGTCTTTCGTCTTGACAAAGAACGAGCCTCTTATCACAACTTGAAGGCGCACAGGGAGGATATTCCAAAGCCATCTAAGTACGAGGTACTTATGAAGGTGAAGGGTGTCTCTTTAAATTATCGAGACATCGCGATCTCAACATCGAAGTATCCATTCCCGGTCAAGGATAATGTCGTTCCATGCTCCGATGCGGCCGGTGTTGTGGTTGAAGTTGGCGAGGGGGTACGCAGCATCTCTGTTGGCGACCATATCATTGCGACACTGGACTTTTCGAACGTCTTTGGACAGCAAATGAGCTGGATGGGCGGGCAAGGTGGTCCTGTTGACGGTGTCCTGAGGGAGTATCTACTTGTCCCTGTAGTATCGGCGGTGAAAGTTCCGAAAGACTCCCCGCACACCTTTAACGAGTGGTCTACCCTAGTGGTAACTGGCGTGACCGTCTGGAATGCCCTATACGGAAATATTCCATTACGCCCCGGTCAGGTTGTACTTTGCCAAGGTAGGTGTCTATCAGATTTTAATCACATGCAACCCGTGTTAACCAAATCACAGGAACTGGAGGAGTTTCTATTACCGGATTAATCCTTGCCAAGGCAGCAGGAGCTAAGACAATCATCACTTCTTCAAGCGATGAGAAGCTCGAGATTGCGAAGAGAAAATACGGTGCGGATATAACTATTAACTACAAAACACATCCTGAATGGTCCAAGGAGGTACTGGCCATCACAGACGGAAAAGGCGTGGATTACATCCTTGAAAATGGAGGCTCTGGAACTATCGCTGAGAGTCTCAGTTGTATCAAAATGGGTGGGCAAGTTGCCATCATCGGCTTCTTAGCCCGAGCTTCACAAGAGCAAATGCCTGATGTGGCTTCTCTGGCTTTGGAAAAAGGTGCTGTGGTTCGCGGAATTCAAGGTGGATCGACTCAGCTTCTGCAGGAAGTCGCTGAATTTGTGGCTCAGAAAGCACTTCGCATGCCAGTTGAGAAGGTTTTCGGCTTCACACAGAAAGAGGTTATCAATGCGTACGATTATGTTGCCTCTGGCGGTCATATTGGAAAGATTTGTATCCAGGTCGGAGAGTAGCCGTTTGATTGGAGGTTATAAACTTTGGAATTACCCTAACCCTTTAGCTTAGGACAAATGAACCGCCGTTAAAAAGCTCTCAAAAAGGCATCAGACTTCTGACTGACTATAGCCCGCACCCTCACGCGCTCTAGGGCTCAATGAACAGTAATACAATCATGTCATGTGGCATTTCTGCGGCTTAAGTTCGTTGGCCTCGGGGGCATCTGGTCTGGGAATAAACACTAAACCATTAGCCATACTGAGACTGGAATAACGTGCTGGTCTTTTTATATCTTTTGATCATCTTTATCATTCGCATTGGTCTCTGGTAAATCCAGATTTGCCATCATATTTGCCTAAAACTAAATTCATATAGTCCTATATCTGCTATTTCTGCTGTATCTTTGAAAGCACTCAGCAAGGCTACAGCCACAGTTTAATACAACAGATGAACAGTAAGTGGGCAGTAGTCTATTACTAGATTAGATAAACCATGGATAGCCTGCAATTTCAGCTATTACCCTAATAGTGTTACCTGATAAGCCAAGGTAGATAACATATGCTCTGGTTGCATCACCGGCATGCGTACCAAGCTACATGGCTCTGACTTTCTTAGTCATATTCGCTGGACAGGCAGCACAGTTCCTTTGATCAGAAACAGATTTAGGATCCGAATCATCAGAGCTAACTCGCCGGGTAGAACAGCTATTGTCATCCGAGGATGTGTATTTTTTTGGGTTAGATATATATAAGGATGAAGTCTGAGATAGTGTAAAGAATATATCTTTAATTCACAAATGTGAAAGGTAGGGGTTGATTATCTTAAAATATTATTATTAACTCTCCTAATATCAGTCATGATTGATAATATATTACAGTAGTTATAGAAATTATAAGATTATTAGTAATGGTTCTATACTATTCTAATATCTATAAGTTGCTAATTCTTTTAGAGCAAACTACTGATCTCTCAAGGATCAGTCTATTTCATGGATTTAGATTATCTTTGTTATTATTAGATAAATATATAGTGTTTAGTGGTTGATTCCTTACCTAGTCGGCAGGCCTTCTACCCTGACAAGTAGATCCTATCACACTGAGTATATCTGATCTTTTTAATCTACAGTTAAGATTAGTTAAAGTAATCTTTTAACCATAATCTACTCTTAACTGTATAGTTAAGAGATTTTTATACCTTAACCTAACCATCAGGTTACGATTAAGGTTAGGTTAAGGTATAACGGTCAGGTATAACCACTCTACATGCCAAGAAATCGGTCCTGTATATATTACGGGAATCCTAAAGGGATCACATATGCGATGCACCAACCCCAGTGGAATAGGGATTATTATTATAGTTCATTTATTCATAGTCAATAAATCTTGGCCTGGAGTACTATATAAGGTTACCTATCTCTTTTATTCTTGGTAATTAACCAGTCTACAGAAAACAGGTTTACCAAGCCCAACCATGACTTCTCCTGGTAATCCGAGCTAATACATCAATAGCTCTTTTTATGGTTTCTCCTCCAAGATATTATAGCCTTCCGAGCCTAACCCTCAAGGCCTACTCAGTGATTCATAGGAGATATAGTCATTTTTGAATTCAGTTTGACCCCTCATTCTTTTTACTTCATTCCCGGAAAATAAATCCATTATACACTAACCCTGTTCGGGGTCACCGCTCGATTCATTAGGCAAAACTGTGGTGGTAATGGCTGTACCACATTCCAGGACTTATCGTAATAATACTGTAATGATACATCGAATCCCATAGAATTGCTTGGTTGATCTGGTGATCTGGCAAGATCGTCTGCTGCTTTCTGCCTTCCCACCAGTCCCACGTTACCACCCACTTCCCCTCGTTCTTCAGAGTAGGTGGTGTTTTGCAGGTGTGGGTAGTGGAGGCGGGATGGTTGGAAATCAACTGGGTGCAATGTGACATCATCAGCTGAATTGCTCTCGGTTTTTAGGTGACAGAAGGGAGGAGCAGTCAATCTAATTGGTTTAGGGCACTTGCTCGGAGATGCACAGTCATCACATTGGCGACCGTAGTGTCAGGAAGTACTCCACATGTTTTTCTCACTTACCATAACCATCGACTTGCAGAATATCCTGGACTCACCCCACTTGGACAGTCTGATGGCGAGCTGAATCTGGATCCGTGATCCCCACCAATCTCTCGAAGCAAACCCATTCTCATCATCTTGCTTGAACAAATTATCAACTGTAGATACAGGTACAGGATAAATACAAACCTTTTTTCTTCGATTGCGGGACAGAAAATGCGGTAATCTGAGGTTTCATAGTGAAGCTAAATTCCTGCCCTCTTTAAAATACAGCCCCAGTGGATTTTTCTTACCATCCGATCTACAAGAATCCTATGCGTCGTGACTTAGTACCCCACCATCTAAGAGATAATCTTTTCCTAATGTTTATTAACACTTAGATCATGTTGATCCTTTCCATGTTTTCAATGGTGTTTTCGGGTCTTCATTGATTTCCCTCTCTGACTCCCCAAGATTTAAGTCGCCGGATCTCGCCCGGCCGTGCGTTACGGGTGGTCAGTCACTGAGAAAAGTTGTATCTCTCTTCGCACTTATATTCATAGTCAATAAATTCTTGCGATATCCTCCACCATGTCCGGCCAAAGCAAAGAGTACGCCGACATCATGGGCCGAGAAACCTCCTTCGGGACCTTTCTCTTCATCCCCCAATGGTTCTCTACCCTGCGACTAGGCTCAGTCGGCTACTTCGACCGCACAGGCGAATGGAACGAAATCACTAACCTGTTCGAGAAAGAGCAGGCCGAAAAGGACGGATTTAAGCCATTTAGCCACGACCTGAAACTGCGCGACGTCCGTGAGACCCATTGGCAGGCTGGATCCGCCGAGACCGAGACAGGCCGGAGTTCCCGCCTCACCACTGAAGCCAGCGGTGCTATAGCTGCTGCACCCGTTGAGGCGTCCGTCCAGGTTAAAACAAGCTCGTCGACGACGGGCAGTGCGGCGCTCATCACGTCGTCTGTGGTGCGCAACTACAGGTTCCAAGGGGACTTTAAGGGGCCAATTAAAGATTGGGTGGAGGATAACGCCAAGGCACTTGTTGAAAGAAGAAGTGATATCGAGACGCAGGGACTGTGGGCAGTTATGGGAGCATGGGTGACAGACGAGTGCGCCATCAAGATGACAAGCGGGAAGGGTCAGGAAATTGACGTGTCGTTCGACCTGGGCGCTACGGGGATTGGGAAGCTGGGTGCGGGCGCCGGGGCCTTTGACAAGCTTAAGCGGGAGGGGTGGTGGACATATCCCAAGAACGAGGTATTTGCAGATTGCTCCTCTACCATCCACTATTGGATACTGATACCATGCAGAAAAGCCAGGGCTACGTTGTTTCGTTTGCGGGAGTTGAGTACTCACTTCGGTCTCTCCACAAGCTGAGAAGCACAGTAAGCATTGATTTCCTTGTACCCTCAATGGCTATTGACTGATCAAAAACTAGCCACTCAAGGTTTATAATGAGACAATCAGCCTAGCCCCTAAACGAGACCAACCTGGGTCCGCGGAAAATGAGCATCGAATGGCGCTTTTAATGAAGTTAGCGCAACTTCAGCAAATTGAACATAAGGAGGAGAAGGAGGCGAAGCTGAAAAGACTGGCAGAAGAGTATCCTGAGATACATGATCTTTGTTCGAAGTCTCAGTGAGGGGGCTCTACGATCCATTTCTGTTCCTATCGCAATCTACTTCTGGCCTATTGCTGTATACTGTTCACTTGCCTAAACACGTGAATCTTTGCTTTAACGTATCTGCATAAACGTTACCAAGGTCTTTTGTAATTCCAATTTTATACTCGTACTGGATGCTGGGAGCTTCCTGACAACCACAGATACTACCTCAATCTAGTAGGCAAATCTTTGTGAGAGCCAATCAAATAATCCTATTCGGAGCATCTAAACTAAAATATCGAACATGAGAGGGGAAAGGAAAGGAGTATAAGGAGACATGTATAAATAATAAAGATAAATAAGCAAGGCAAAACAAACAGAATAAATAAAATAAGTAAAAACTATATTATATATCTTAGTTATTGTTACGGACCCCTGCTAGTTAATCTTCTAGTAAGGCGGACTCGCCAGGCAGAAAGCGCCGATAAGGGCAGTACTCAGGTAAAACCAAATTATTATTTAGTAGAATACCTAATTATCCTTATAATACCTAGAACAGCCACGCATTATGTGACTATCTACTATCATGTCTACTATTAAGAGTATATTTAAGGTATACTAGAATCCTGGATTATAATTAAATCAACCATCAATCTACCTAGAATAATATATGATATAGTATACGGAGAATAGAATATATAAGAATGCTTTTTTATATATTTAATTAAATTTAATTTTTTATACTCAATAATACTGTCTTTAAATAACTATATATTTAGAAGTTTAGTAATAGAATATTTATTTATATTTATTTATAAATAATTATATAGTATTATCTGGCCTTACTTCTCTTCTTATATCTAAAATCAGTTATTTTTAAATAATTATTAGTTTAATACCTTCTCGACCCAGTTCAACAGTATATATATCAGTAAAGCTAAGCTAACCAGGACAGAAAAATAATTCTAAAATTTGATATCGGTCCGCCATATCGCTGGGAATCAACCTGCACTTTGTGGACGGTCAAACGGAATATCCCGCCAAAGAGGCTCGTATCCGGCTGTGGTGGTTGATTTTCCTCCTCGAGCATCTCCTTACAGCGATCACTGGCCGGGCCTCTTGCGTGGGCGAAAGCCTCAGCGCCACGCGACTGCCCATACCGTTCGAAGAAGAGGTCTTTGGCAGACCCGACATACTGTCTCTTTTTCAAGACTCCGTATCACGTATCGACCGCCTCAAACTCACGCTCCTCCAGACGGAGGAGGAAGCGCGTGCCAGTGTGTCCTGGCTCACATCCTGTGAAGCCAGCCCGTCACTGTTCTTTCACTGTATTGTGGACCTAGCTGCCATCGGGCAGGATATTATCAACAACGTTTATAGTATTAAGGTCTCCACGACTGTGGCAGCGAGATTGAGCAGCAAATCCGAAAATATAGCAGTATTCTAGACATGTGGCTCAGCAAGGTTCCCGATGCCTACCGATTCACCTCGGTGAACAGCGATGGGGCAGACGTTCCTGATGGCAATAACAGCCAATGGAAGCGAGAACGCATTTCCTTAGCCATGAGCTACTACAGCACTCGTATCATGCTTTGCCGCCCGTGCCTCACGCACACTGGTTCGCGATTGAGTACTCGGTCTCCTGATGCAGAAGTTGCCCAGCATTCGTGCCCGAATCCACGCCCAAACTCCAGTAGTCGCACGCTGTTCCGCTCCAGTATGGGCCTCATGTGTGTTCGTTCCGCCGTCTCCCTCCTTGCATGTCTTCCTCAGACACCAGACATCATGTGGATCACTGCAATGACTCCTTGGTGGTACATCCTCCATTACATCATGCAAGCGACAACAGTTATCCTTTGTCATCTTTCCAACCGCCCACCCGGGCCCAGCGAACACCCCGTTCATCCCGGCTTCTCCGATCCGGGGATCACGGTCAGCGAGATTAAGAAGGCCATGCGCTGGCTCCACCACATGGCATACACATATGCTGCCCCCGGACGCGCATTCCGGCAGTGCAACAGCGTTCTGCGGCGTATTGCCCCCAGCCTGGGCATCGACCTCAGTGATCTTCCCGATTGCAGAGACCTGCCCACTGGTGGAGATACATCACATTTCTGACAGCGTTGACGAACACAAGGTTGACAAAGTTCAATCGGCTCGAAGTGTTCCAGCATGACAATAAACTGACCTTCCATATGTCACGATCAAGCCTTACTGTATAGGAGAATTGTCATTCCGTAGACTTGGCAAATGCAAGGAAGCTAACATCCAGCTGGACCTCAGGAGGATTCTCTGCCAGAAAGTATAAGTAGGTTCCAGGCACCTCTATACAGAAATTAGCCTCCAGCATGCTTTTTCCCATATTTAATAAATCTTCGCCGACTGTTCTTTCATTCGCTGGCTTTGCGTGTCGGTTTCAGATAGTTCAGCAGCGCTAGATTTAGGCATGGAAGAGTGAAGACATTCAGATGTTGACAGATTACACCCTTGCGGCACGTGACAGAGTCACCGAACGACCGAAGAGTCTAGAGTTTTCTCTGGGCTTTACGCTTCTCGTACATAAGATCTATAATTTGGAAGGAAATCACAAGGCAGATCGATACCTGCTACTCGTCGCTACGGCCGCCCCACCCTGTCGGGATGGCCACACTCTCAGCGCACCGCAACGCCTCAGCGCATCACAAGATTCATGAAGCTATTCAGACCTTCTTTCATTGAATTACTCTACATAAACATGTCATTCATCTGTATAAATGATGAACCTTGCTATATAGAGGCTACAAATTACTATTATCAAAAAAAGGAAAAAATATATAAAATAAAATAAAAAATAAAAACAGCGAAATTGCGGTTTCTATACGAAAGACAGCGAAAGATTTCGATATTAGCTATTATCGCTTACGACGAAGAATCCATGACTTATCAACCCGATCGACGCATCAATCTACCAATCTAAAGCTTGATAAGGCTCAATATCACCTCTTATTTGACTAAAGCGATACCCACCTGATTCGGTTAGGAGCATGGAGGTTATTGATTTTCGATCAACATTCAAGCCATTTGACGTACGACTGCATTAGATTCGTGAAGTACACAAGATTTCAGTATTTCTGACACCTCACCTAACTCATGTAATTCAATCTCTGGATTCTGTGCCATTTCAACAGCTTAAAAGATGGCATGCTTTATCAGTCGACCGACATGCTCGCCTTGGAGAGGAGTACGATAAGGTCCATTTTTTCTATGATATTAGATCCATACGAGAACTAACTTTGACGAAACCTGTTATTAAAGCAGGCTAGCGTGAAACTGGGATAGAGCCATACAATCCTCAATATATGTTGAATTACGTTCGTATTGAATATCTAGATAACACAGGTAATTCAGTTATTTATGATAATGGCAACGTACTTACTGACTTCCCTGATTTACGGATACCACGGAGAATTCTATACAGAATGAAACACTAAATTAAGCAAGTACGACCTTGAATCAGCAACCGAAAATTGCCTCTAGCAATAATCCTGCCTCTAGCAAGAGTCCTACCCCTGCTGAACCACCAACTCCGATTCATTATATATATTGAATACTCCACTTAAAATTCGCCCAGGACGTCGACATATTGAAGCTATACTGGCTAGGACTCGGGCTTCACCTTTACTTGACCGCTTCTTACGTGGCAGCCTTTACCGATCCGAACCATTAGCGCTCCATAAGCGACTTCTTGAGGAAGAATATGAAGAAAAGATAAAGCCGAAGTACAATCCTAGATGCCGCCGCAGGGCTCTGACTACAGGCTTAATATATGCAGGACAATTAAAGGAACGGATTGATGCTAGAAAAAAGCAAGAAATCGTTGATTCATGGAAGAAGAATCGGAGGCGATCTAAACCTTACAAGATGCCTCTACGGGATGATGATGATTCTACGCGTGATGATTCGCCACCACCCCTGCCAGAGGACCTCTCCCAGGTGTCTGATGATGCTTTGTTTAGTATGCAACCGTATCCTGACGCGTCATTTCAATATAAATAGCCTATTTTGGTAGGTCCAGCAGCTTCAATCAAAAAGATTGATTTTTGATGCGCTGAGGCGTTGCGGTGCGCTGTGTGGCCCACCCAACCCAACAGGGTGGGGCGGCCGTAGCGACGAGTATAGTTACCCTGTTGCCGGCTTACTAACATGCGTCTAGAACGACAGAGCTCTGGGTACCTGGAGCAAGCTCGGGGATTGCTTACTTCGGTGAGATCAAATATACCCCAAGGATATCAAAGCTTTTCAAGTAATTGTGCAAAGGCTCACTGCTTGTCATAAGCATTGATAATATCTGGCTTCGTGTACCCTCCCTATCCGATGGCCTGGTTAACATAGACGATCGGCATGAGGAAGGTGTTCCGAGCCCTGCCTACAAAGTCCTCGGAAAAGCACATCGACTTCTCGGTAATTGACCGTTTCTCAGAGCTATGCGTTAGTCCCTAGAAGTTACTGCCATCAAGTAGGCCGCAAGGTCTACCTATGAGACTTATATGTGTTTTCTCGAGATCTCCGGTTGTGAAAAATATGCGTCTGCAAGAGAGCCAAAATTTGCCCATAGAGCCGTCAGTCTTTTCCTGAAGAATCCCTTCCCATAGCTAGCTATTCGGGCTGGTGGCCGGCTGACCTATAATGTACCAGGGAAGAGCCCTGTCTCCAAACTCCTACTATTACGCATGTGAGGCCCAAGTTATCCAGCTGATGATGATAATGATTCATAGACTAAGAAATAGGCTCGGTTTCAAGGAAGTGGGCCGTAAAAGTCGACGCACAGGCGTGGCCTGATCAATTTCCCAGAGGTGCCCCCTTTTTTGGGAGGCCCTCCATACTTGTTCTCATTCGTTATTGATCTCGTTGCGGATATAAATACCGTTTCTCCCGCCAGAGCAGGAGTTGGAAAGCATGCTTCTTTTCTAGGCCATCTGCCTCCTTAGATAAGCGATATGCTATGTTGTTTCCTAGGCCGCCGCAGTGTCCTGGAGCCCATCGCAGTTGCAGCGGAATTCCTTGTGCTTTTAGCTGTCTCGCCGGCTGATGGGAACGAGCCGCACCAAACGCCGCACATAAACAACCAAAATGAAATCTGCATTGAAGCTAATACTTAAAATTGATCCTCTCAGGGGGCCGTCAATGGGCCCGGCCGGCCGGCTTCCGTGCTTGGTATATGTGTAAGATGTTGTAAGCATGGATTTCTTTGTTGAAGGCCTCTGATCTAGCCTCAGCTGCAAGCTGTTTGATCCTTTCTGAAGGCCAGCTGAACACGCGACTGAAAGGGGCTAGACTGAGCTCATGAGACTCTCAGAAAATGCTAGGTTGTACCAGCGAGCGACCTTCCTCTCATGTTCATCACGATGCCAAGGGTTGAGAGGCAATCCCACTATCTGATGGTTGATGTGGGTAAAGCCTGCCTCTTCAAGGGCTCTGATGGTATCACGTGAGTTGTGGACTATGGGCCGCATAGTGGCTTCTGTTGCCTGCTTCAGGTACTGATACCATTGGCCTAGTGCCAGTCCGTCTAGAGAGCAATCGTCGCAGCGGGGTTCGAAATCTATTTCCACCTGTTCAAACCACGCCCCTGGTTGAAGATGCCTTAAGATCCGCCTGTAGAGATTGGGCCAACCCACGACACTGCCGCAACCCATCAGCAGATGAATGAGATCCCAGGAATCTTCTCCAAGCGTCCAAGGACTCTCAAAGTCAGAAGGCGCATAGAAGTGGCAATTAGTTGGGTGATTGGGAGGCTGTATAGGTGCTAGATCTACCCCGACAAAAAAGGCATCGGGGGATTCATGGGCGACATCGATTGCCCAGATCCCGGTCCCGCAACCCAGATCTAGGAATCTACCATTCCTGGAGTGTGGCGCGTAGATTAAGCTCACAGACATCCGCGCTACTGTAAATAGCTTATGGAACAGATTGAGACGGTCCTGCACCTCTTCATCACACGGTAACATATAGACTTCCCTCCGATATCCGTGATATGTGCGACCGTTTTCTTCAAGGAAGAGACTTCTGTCCGGAGGCCTAGAACGGATAACAATAGGAGAAAAGAATCCCAACATTAGTTGCTCAATACTAGTTAAATATAAATGAAGTATGATCAGCACTTTAGGTTTGATATTTTCCGGTGGAGGAGGGCGTTGGTTGAACGAGGTCCTCAGCTGGGGAAATGTAGACGAAGGAGGGGGGAAGAGGAAGAGACCAGGGAGAAATACTTGCTATAAGAACTGCTCATGCTTGGAGATGCATTGCAAACCAAGTTCCCGATGCCGGTTGGGTCTTTTTTGGAAGGTTCTTGGTCCCTAATGAGACATATATCCATAGCGTCCGACGTTTGTCTGAAACCGCGTGTTCTCGTAAGATGCTGCGACTGGAAAGGTGAAGTGGTCGGGAGGCGGCCAACCAAAGATGACTGGCTGATGCAAGACCCGCCCGTTCCCAAACATGGGTTTTTGATGTCAAAGAGCTAGATCAGTAAGAAGGAATCCGTCTTATCCTGCTAGTGATAATATGACTGAAAAGAAGACATTGGTGAAGTGACCAGCTTGACTGCCGGCGAAAGAGCACCGCCTTTAGCCATCAGACACCAGAAGTCAAGTAGCGCACCGAGGAAGATGAAGATCAGTTCCGCAAATAAGCCCAAGAATGTAAGGGTGATAATAGCCCAAATACAATCACTCTTTTCGCTCTAGTTCCTCAAGCCAGTGCATGCATTTCTCTGGTCATCACAGTGTGCCTATCTTTACAAACAATTATGGGTCTTCCCATTGTTCTCCCCCCCCCTTTTGGCATTCTGGGCTGCAGCTGAGTCAACCTCACCAGTTGTAGGATTGAAGTCAAAATCCTTATCAATTTTCTGAATCGGCTGTGGATAGTATGTTTCGTATTCGGTGTTAGTTTCCATAACAACAGCAACCATACTGAAAACCTACTAACCTGGAGGAAAGGCCCGACCAGAATCCTGTCGAATCGGGGAGAAATGCGGTGACCTGGCCAGACTCTGGAATGCGAATACCCAGGCAGACTTCAGCATCACACAGCGTGCTGTATTCGTAGGCATTTCGTATGGGGCTCTTCTTACGCCGGTCTCGTTTCTGTCGCGTCATCTAAACTTTGGGCTCCAATGTTTTACCTTCGCCTCTCGCCTTTTGATTGCTGTGATGGCGAGAAATGAAAAGTCGAATAATTTGACCAGAGCCACGGAACGTCTCTTTTTCGTTGCTTAAGGCTCTCGGAGTTGACCGGATCATCCGATCGACAATCAGAGACTGCTCCTGGACAGTGTTGTTTAACTGCCAGTCACTTGTTTGGAACTTTGTATGGGCGGATGGGCGTTTCAAAAACAAGAGTAGCAGATCCCGAATGTAGGTGAAAAGTTTGACATGACAGTTTTCTGAAGGAACGCCACCGACGAAGTATTTTCTCCTTAGTCGACAGTCCATTGGTCGTTTTCTCTCCTGGTCCAAATAATCTGTTTGAGTAGAGACTTTCCTAGTCGACCCATCCACCAACCAGCTACCCCACTAGACCTCAAGCGGGCACCGACCGACTACAGACCTTCCTGGCTGCATGGCCCAGTGTAACTGTTCGTAGAGAGGGGAACCACTGGGGGTAAGAGATTGGTGATTAGCTTCCACCATAACCAAGCGTTAAGCGACGTCGGAGTCATGAATTGGAGAACCGGAAATCGCGCTTGATAGTTACTGTCCCTCTGAAGGGACTAGCATGCTGCAATCTGGCGAGCAGTGGAAATGAACGGTCACAGAGCCTAATGACCAGGGCCGTCGGATGTCCCAGCACTTCCCCGTGTGGCTCTCAACGTCCATTGGTTGGTGAATAAGACGCTCAAAAGGCACGTAGACACAGAGATACTTAGGTGCGAGGCATTTATACGTGCCAGAAGTCTTCCAGGGCTAGGATTCAGCTTTATTGTATTGCAAGTGACATGAATAGACTGTTAATATGCTGGGCTGACTTATCATACTTTTACTACCCTTATTGGTCTAGCCTTGGAGACGACCTATGTTTACTTTGGGAGATCTAATCACGTATAGTAAACAGAGGAACGGCTAAATAAAGAACGTATTACCGAAAGTATGTACATGGTTAGTCTGATATAATGGGGTGAATTGCTATTGTATGGTTCTCTTTTATTTCAATTTCTTTTCATTTCTGTCTAATTTTCTTTGATATGACCGGTATTATTTTGCTGTTTTATATTTGTCGTTGCCCATATCAATACTTGTATCTGCTGGAAAGGATAAATATTCAATCTCTGAGGCTATATTATATGGTGAAGTTGCTCCTGAGGAAGGATTTATTGAGCAAGAATGTTTTTAGGGTTAATGGAGTCTATATGATTTACAGTTATTGAGGCCTGACGTACAGTATTGTGTATGCTATTATGAGGAATAATTGTTACAGACCCCTGCTAGTTAAGTTACTAGCGAGGCGGACTCGTCAGGCAGGAAGCGCCGATAAAGGCAGCGCTCGTGCAAAACCAATTTGTTAATGAGAATAACTACTCTAATATGTAATACTCTATTATCTCAGTCTTATATCGCTTCCGATATTGCTCTCCGAGTCGCTATCTAGATCTATAATAGAGATCACGGGGTAACTATATCAACAGAAGTCACGGTGATAAATAGCCACTGTTTAATTATTTACTTCAGCTCCTGAAATCTCTAGATAGTATTATTGGCTGCGGAAAGGCATCTTAGGCCGACCCACAAAGAACCAGACCAATTAAAGTTCCTGACAATAATATAATCATTGCTTCGCATCAATGCGCGATGAAATCTAGGCGCACTACTGCCTGCTGAGGGAACAGTGGAGCCAGCTCAGTGCCAGCTGGAACATATGGATATGCACAATGGACAAGGCCAGCCTAGGTAAGAGGTAGCTTGTCTAGATGAACAAAATTAACGCCCGTTTATCCGATATATACGCGCCATTCAATCACATTGCATGGCAAGCAAATCCTCAACTCTATTCTTGAACAAATTACTCCAAGGGTTGTTAGAAATGTCGATCCCTGCATCTGTGATTTACCGTGTTTCAGCTGCACAGAAAATGGGAGAATGAGCCACGTCACCATAATTCTTTTTCCTCCCTCCCCCTACCTTTGATAGGAACTGATCTATCAGCGGCTGCATATGCTGCTGAGAGTTCGGAGTCCTTGATATACTCCGCACACCGCTCAACGGAGTGCGGTAGCGACTTGGCAACTTTCTTACAACGCTTTGTCATTGGATATACTGCTTTGCACTGGAAAAAACAATATGAAGCTATTTAAATGGACGGCTATCTTGCTCGGTTGTTGTGATATAGTAGCTCATCTGCAGAGGCGTTTACCTAAAGCCATTGACATGACCTGTCACATTACAGTGTCTTGGCAGTAATGTCACAGGTCATGTCAATGAGTTTAGGTAAACGCCTCCGCACCATTATCTGTTGGTGGACATTCGGGTCAAGCGCTTCTCTATCACACAATATGGTTGAATGGCACTAAGGGTGTGAATGATTAAGCAGCTCCGTGAGGTGAATCCTCGTGGAAGACAGTATATGACACTGACGAAGACTCATATCCTCATTAAACATGTTCAATATTCTAGACTATTTAATTTTATCGACTGCCTTGAGTTTTTTTCTACGATGATCAGTTAATATAGACAAAACGAATGCGAGCACTTCATAATTATCCTGTATTCGCGGCCTTGATCTTCTTCTGTATCTATGTGCTACATCCTCTGCTAGCGTAGCTTTGCGCTCGGTATTTAATGTAGTATATGGGTATTCGGTATGACGAACAAAGGTAAGAGCAATTGAGCTGATCATCTTGATATGGGATCTGAGTCGGACGGCTTTGCAAATATTGTCTATCCTGACGAGATTTCGCCATATCCCGAGTCATTGATCTATCACATTAACTACTGAAACCACTTTGGGCTACTTGCACGTAGAAACAGCGGAGCCACTAGCGGACCGTTACTCCCTCACAGCTAGTCAAACCGCTGGATTTGAATTCATCTAAAGATGATGCTTCCTGGGCCGGCTAAAAGTATCTCATTTTAACTCTTCCAAGTATCTCGCTTACAAACCCTAAAGTATGAAGATCCTTTAAACTGTGGGCCTCAAAGTCAAATTGAGGTTGCGCCGATACCTGGCGTAGCTGAGACCAGCTCATCTCTGTTCTTTTCATGCACCTTGCTTAGACGTATCGTCAGCAAGTGGAGAATAACTGGATAAGTCATGGGGGCCCTGCCCTTACGCACTCGCTTCTAAGTGGTCGCGGCACGAGGCAACATGTTCAAAGCCCGAGGACTATCCTCGCTAACAGTGAAGTTGATGTCAGATGCAGTTGAAACCTAGTCCGATGCGGGAACTGCTTGCGGTCTGCTAATGATGATGAGCCTCGAGTATCGCCGTGTAAGACGGCAACGGAAACTCGGTGGCCTAGACGTCTTGGAAAAAAGGCCTATAAGGCGGGCGATATCTGGAATAGTAGATAATCAATAAGTGCAGCTTCGTCCAGAATCTTTTCAAGCACTGGGCTATCTCGCATTACTTGACCATTGACCATACACATCGCCGCCTAGGTGTGCCTGCTCCGACTCACTTACTCCTTTATATTCATTTGAGTCAACCGCACCGTTAGGAAAACTGGCCATGGCTTCCAGCGAGTGGATTCATCAACTCACGTGGTTGCCTGCTGCCTTATCCAAAGAGCCGTTGCAAATTGGAAAGGTGGTATTCGTGGTCACCGACAGGAACAATGAAAAACTATCTGCGTATCAGGCCCAACTTGCCCACGAGGGTTATGCCACGGTCGTTACCTGTGATACTACGAACATCAGCCCCTCCCTGACGCCAGATTCGATAGTGGTGCATATCCCGCCCGCAGCTGAGAATAAAAGTAGCGTATACGAGGCCGCAACCCAGGCGTGCACCGCCTTGGTTCAGATCGCGCAGCAGCTTTACCGGTGCAGCGTGTCCACCAATGCCAAGACAGTAAAGCTCTTCTCAGTCATCTCGAAGGACTTTGACACAGGCGACCTAGGGTATGCTCCTCTACATGGGTTGGCGCGAGTGTTGAAAATGGAAATCCCACACATTTTTGGTGGCCTATTCGAGGATGACGTTGGGCTCTTTCCGTTGTCGGCAGTCAAGTACGCACAGGGCTTCGACGTTGTCAGAGTCTGCAGGGGTGAAGCGCAGACTGCTTGCTTGCAGCCATTCCCAGACGAGATCAACCACCAGAGGGGCCTTTATCTCGATTCTCACAGCACCTATCTGATCACAGGCGGAACCGGAGGTGTTGGTCTGGCAATAGCAACTTGGATGGCGCGGCGGGGGGCCAAGCACATTATTCTTGTGTCTCGCCGTGGCCTCAAGCCAATTGGCGGGAGGAACATTGCTGAAGCCACTGGCCAGGAGCCCATCTCGCCGATTGCTGGACTCGAGGCGCTGGGCGTCTCAGTATATGTCCTGGCCGTTGATCTCAGTAAACCCAATGCAAGCTCCATACTAAGTCAAGCAATCAACAACTTGTCCAGCCCGCCAATAAAGGGGGTTGTTCATGCAGCCGGCACCGCGGGATATCACACGCTGGCAAGTTGCACCTCTTCAGACATAGCGGATGTGCTAGCCCCCAAAATAATTGGCGGCTTGACCCTCGATACACTTTTCGCACCCGGGACCCTGGACTTCTTCGTCTTCACATCATCGATAGGGCAGCTTGTGGGGTTTCCGGGACAGCTGTCATATGCCTCTGCGAATGCTTTCTTAGATGCGCTGGCTGCGTACCGAAGACGCCAAGGCGATAACAGCACGTCCATCCTCTGGACCGGTTGGCGTGGGGTAGGCTTATGGGATCAGAGCAAGACAGCGATGCGGATGCTTAACAAGGCGTTACAGGCCAGGGGCATTACAGACATAACCCCGGATGAGGCACTTGCAGCGTGGGATAAAATTGCAAGCTTCAAGACTGACCACGCGGTGGTGGTGCGCGCATTGGAGCTGGATGCCGACGAGCCCCTGCGGCATCCTATACTCAAGGAAATTACGCCACGCAAGCGGGTGAAGCAAACTGCCTCGCTAGAATACAAAGCCTACCCTGGGCATGCAGTAGCGGTGATAGGCATGGCTTGCCGGACAGCTGCTGGAGACACAGAAGATGACCTCTGGGAGGCCATTCAAGCAGGCAAGAGCATGGTGTGCGAGATAGATGAGAAGAGGTTCCCCAATGGAGTTCCGAATGGGAAGACATGGGGATGCTTTATGTCCGATATCGAATCGTTCGACCACCAATTCTTCCAGAGATCCAAGCGTGATGCAACCGCCTCAGACCCCCATCAACGCGTGCTGCTCGAAACCACGTATCATGCACTCGAGTCAGCTGGTTGCTTTGGCCCAGGCCAGCAGACATCAGAGGCTCACGGTCCAAACAGCCACAGAACTGGCTGCTTCATAGGCATGGGCTCACCTGACCACATCTTGCATCAAGCGTGCCATCCGCTTTCCCCATATGCGGCATTAGGTCTGATGCGTTCATTAATGGCCGGCCGCCTAAGCCATTACTTTGGCTGGACGGGCCCCTCGCAGACCATTGATACGGCATGCTCGTCTGCCATGGTGGCGATTCATCAAGCGTGCCGTGCTATCCAGACCGGTGAGTGCACGCGTGCTGTGGCAGGAGGCATCAACCTACTACTGAACATGGTTAGCTATGATGCATTGCGCACAGGTGGATTTATCAGCCCATCTGGAGGATGTAAGACATTTGACGCACTGGCTGATGGATACTGCCGTGGGGAGGCGGTTGGTGTTGTGATTCTAAAGCCTCTGGCACGGGCAATACAAGATGAAGATAATATCCATGGTGTGCTGCTTGCTACTAGCAACAACCAAAATATCAACAGTACGAGCATCACAAATCCAGTCCTCACAAGCCAGATGGCATTGTACAGGGAGGCGCTGGATCGCGCTGGAGTCAATCCAGAAGATGTGTCATATGTCGAGGCTCATGGCACGGGCACGCGTGCTGGGGACCCTGTCGAAGTACAGGGCATCCGAGAGGTATTCGGCGGGAAGGATAGACATTCAATATTGCATGTTGGCGCGGTGAAAGCCAACGTCGGCCATACAGAAGGGGCCTCAGGCGTAATATCTCTAATCAAGGTTCTACTCATGATGAAGCACGGCAAAATCCCCGGACAGGTCCAACTTCGGGAGTTGAATCCGAAAATTCCAGCACTTGAACCTGATCGGATGGCTATTCCTACTTCGATGATGGAGTGGAGAGATAATTTGCGCTTGGCTGTGGTCAACAATTATGGAGCTTCAGGCAGTAATGCTACTGCCGTCGTTGCGCCTCCTCCTCAGCGGTCATCACTGTTGCCGACCATCCCTTCCGCCTCTACCTGGCCCATATTCATTTCGGCTTCTTCGAGGGCCAGCTTGTTGGAGTATTGCGACGTATTGAGTAGCCGAATCGCACAGGAGTCCTCTACTCTTGAATTGCTTCCTCGACTGGCTTTCAGTTTGGCAACCAAGCAAAATCGACATCTACGGCATGTTTTCTGTACCACAGCCACGTCGTGTAAGCATTTTGCATTCCATCCCCGGTTTCGGTTCGTTTAGATCGACTGCTGACCTTCTGGCTACAACAAAGTGAGCAATTTTCAGGCTCAGCTTTCCGATCCTGGGAAGTACATCGTTACCTCATCAGAGCCGAAACCCATCGTGCTTCTTTTCAGTGGACAGAATGGTGATACAGTTCCTTCAGCAGGGCAATTGTATGACAGTAGCCTGTTATTCCGAATGCACCTGCACCGATGTGAGGATGTGATGCAATCGCTTGGCCTCCCCAGCCTGTACCCGGCTGTCCTTCAGGGGATCCAGAGTGGTGCTGATCTCGTCCTCCGGCACAGTAGCATGTTTGCCATTCAGTACTCTTGTGGAATGTCATGGGTTGACTCTGGGGTAAAGCCTCAGGCGATTTGCGGCCACTCATTTGGCGAGTGGGCCGCCCTCACGGTTTCGGGGGCCATGACACTCGAAGCCGCCATAAAATTAGTAGCTGGGTATGTCTTCCTTGCCTCATCTCGCCAACCGGAATGTGCAAGTCACCTTGGACTTTACCCTTTTATATTCCACGGGAGAAACGCTAATCAATACATAGTTAGTAAGCTCAAGTTATATGAACTACAGTTAAACACACCGATCGCAAGAAGACTGACACCAAACAGGACGAGCAGCTATTATCAAGAAGCTCTGGGGAGACGACGTCGGATCCATGATAGCCATCGAAGCTGACCTCGGCAAGACTAACACAACGCCAGGAGAGCATTTAGAGCCGTTCCACGACACACATCCAGAAGCGAAGCTAGAGATTGCGTGTTATAATGGGCCTAGCAACTACGTTGTTGCTGGGCGCACCCAACAAATCGATCTCCTTGAATCACATCTGATCGAGAGAAAGGCCAGCGGTGAAAATCTGCGTTTCAAGGTGTTGAGGGGCATGCACGCGTATCATTCCAGTATGGCCGACTCAATCGTCGACGAGAGCGCCAAGCTATCGGCTTCCATACCGTTTCAGGTCAGTTATAGCTTCCAGTTGAGGCCTGCAGAGCATTTTGGCCATAGGCACCCCTTCATAGATGACATTACTGTCCCTTCAGTGGCTGACTTTGCTTGTTTCGAGGGACAGGAGCCAAAACTTCCCTTCGAATCTTGTCATGAAGAGTCCTGGACAGGGCCTGGGTCCAACGTCATCGCCCGCAACACTCGTCAGCCCGTGTATTTCGACCAAGCTATGGGGCGCATTGTCAAACGTCTAGGCGCCTGTACATTCCTAGAAGCAGGCATAAATGGACCCATAGTTACCATGGCACGGAATGCGCTGCCACGGACCTCAGACGAAGCTTCGCACACCTTCGTGGCCATTAGTGGAAAAGACTCTGTGCGATCCGTGGGTGAGGCAACGGCAACACTATGGAAAACCGGGCAGACAAACGTACAGTATTGGCTGTTCCATCACAGCCAGCGAACAAGCTATGTACCCATGTCCCTACCACCCTACCGGTTTGCAAAGCATAAACACTGGATGGAGTACACCGGTCTCGCAAATGGTGGCAATCAGAGGACCCCTGGACATGTACCAGAGCGCCCTGCAGTCTGTCTGCACTGCCGTAAAGAGACTACTGACATTCCTTGCATAAGGCAAGACGATATCCAGGGTCGATATCCGAACAAATCAAGCTTCACGATCGACACGCACAGCAGGCGCTACCAAGATCTCGTCAAGGGCCACATCGTGCTGGGCACACCATTATGTCCAGCGGCAGCATACTTGGAGTTTGCAGCACATGCCGTCGCCTTATTGCTGAACACACAGGTGACGCCCAGTATCGTAGTAGAAGTGATAAAATTCAAGGAGCCCTTGAGTATGGACTTGGATCGTTCCGTCAAGCTGATGTTAACGAGCAAAGGAGATCATAAGTGGGAGTTTGAATTCTCCTCTACAAAGAGTGAGAGGGAAACCTTGCATGCTACCGGCAGCATTTCGCTCAGCCATGGGAGCAGTGGAAGCATTGAGACGGAAGCGAGAGACAAATGGGCCCGCATAAAGAACCTACTTGAGGAAGACCCAGATGTTGACGCTTTGCGTGGCACAATGATATATAAGGTGTATGGTGATATGATAAAGCACGCAGCCGCTTACCGTGGCTTGCGGCACTTGGCCGTGAAGGGGACTGAAGGCGCAGGAGACGTCGCCGTACCAATGAACGACATCAATGCCATGGGCAAAACACCCAATGACAACATTGTCGATTCCTTCGTCATGAACAATTTCCTCGAGGTCCCAGGCGCATTCGTTGCCTCTCTGCACATCTTCGGTCAGGTCGACAGTAAACGCAAGGCTTTCATCTGCACGGGCATGGGAGCCGTCGGCCCCTTGAATAAACTCCCACACAGCGGAACATACAAGGTATATACGCAGATTGTCCGAGAAAGCTGCAACAATACGGTGCTAGACGTGTTCGCGTTCGACACACAGACAATGGAGCTCATCTTGTCTGCCAAGGAGATCACATTTTCGAAAGTGTCCCGCGGCCCACTAGCCAAAGTCTTAGTGGGAGCGAATACCAGTACGACGGCTAGCGATCCTGCAACTCAATCGCAGGACGCTGAAAGTTTTGTGTCTGAGACAGCCTCCGACTCGACTCCTGCTACAGATCTTAGTAATGCCAATGGGGCTCAAGAAGATTCACCTGATGCGTTTCACGGCATCCAAGAGATACTAAGTAGGACATTGGACCTCCCTGTCGGTGAAATTACCAAACAGGCATCACTTGAGGAGCTCGGTGTGGACTCGTTGATTAGCTCAGAAATTCTGGCCAGCATTCATCATAACCTCCACATCAATGTTTCAGTTGAGGATTTTGCCACGGCTACCGACGTGGCAGCTTTATGTGACCTGATCTCTTCTCAGGTGGGCGGCGGCATCGCTGATACGAGCGACCAAGGTGATGAAGCCAGAGGGCCAGAAGCCGTGTGCGAGATCCCTAATCAGACAAGTACGGACTGCCAGAAGACTCTGCTCGATTTACTCGGTCACTCGCTCGATGTACCGGTGACAGAGATTCAGATGGATTCCCAACTCGAGGAGCTTGGAGCGGATTCACTTGTCGCTGCAGAAATAGTCAGCAGTATCAACAAAGCGTTTGATCTAGCTATAACATCGGCCGACTTTTCTTCAATGACCGATGTGAGGTCTCTTTGTGAGCTCATTTCCCGCGCCCAGGCTCATTTGCCAAAAACACCTGCTGTCGTCCATCTATCAAATGTTTCAGAGTGCGCGGGCTCCGAATCAGCAGCATATATTCCACTAACCCTAAATGGCCATACAACCACCATCACAGGAGACAAGAAGTGTGCCTCCACTGCTGGAGATACCGAGTCAATACACACAGCTTTCCAAAGGGTTCGCCGCGGCTTCGACGCCCACGCGAAAGATGTCAGTTTTACAGGGTACTGGGACCAGGTGTACCCACAGGAACTAAGCTGTGTCACAGCTTTTATTGTCGAAGCCTTCGAGAAGCTCGGATGCCCTCTCAGACTCTTCAGCCATGGCGAGAAGCTTCCTGCCCTAAATGGAACGCTGCCGAAGTACCACAGAGAAATATCTCGACTTTGGGAAATTCTGGAAGAAGCCGGCGTCGCAGAAAAGGGGAGAGACTTTTACTTGCGAGGTCCTGTGCCTCTTGACGAGCATACGAAAGGAAAATCAGCCAAGAAGCTAAGTACTCAACTCATCACGAGCTTTCCCGACTATGAATCCACGCATGCACTCCCTGATCTCCTCGGGCCGCACCTGGCAGAGTGCATCACCGGAAAGGCAGACCCTACCTCTATCCTGTTTGCCAGTGATAAGGGCAGCAGACTTCTTGAGGACTTTTATACCAACGGGCCCAGCCTCAGAGCCGCCACCTACGTGCTTTGCGACTTTCTGTCTGCGGTCATGGCTTCGAGACCTCCTGACAAAGAACCCTTCCGTGTGCTCGAAATCGGAGCTGGGTTTGGTGGCACAACCAAGTTTCTCCTACCACTGCTTGAAGGCAGCGGGCGCCCTTTCTCTTACACATTTACCGACATTTCAGTGTCACTGCTAGCGCGTGCCAGAACGAAATACCAGAACATCGAGGGTATGGAATTCCGGAAACTCAACGTCGAGGAAGATCCTCCCGCGGAGCTCCTGGGACGCTATGATATTGTGGTGTCAAGTAACTGCGTGCACGCAGTGCGCAGCCTGCGGCACAGCTTAGCCAACATCCGCAAATTGGTGTCACCCAACAATGGATGCGTGGCACTGATTGAGTCAACGCAAAAGCTGGCCTGGTTCGAACTCGTCTGGGGTTTACTGGATGGATGGTGGTTGTTTGGTGACGGCCGCACGTACGCGCTGCAAAGCCCGTGGGCCTGGGAGCACGCTATGCAGGATGCCGGATTTGCGCATGTCGACTGGTCCGAAGGCGCCAGTCGTGAGTCCCGCACCGTTCGAGTAATATGCGGAATGACGACTGCGCCAGAGACAAAGTGCCCAGCAGAAGCCACCTCGTTGCTCTTACACCGCAGGTTCTCTGCACCCGGGGAACGAAATCTATTCCTAATCCCAGACGGGATCGGCTCTGGCGCCGTGTTTGGCGCGCTGGGACCGTATCTCAGTAGCGTCAAGGGCGTCTCTGTCTACGCCCTGAATAGCCCCTTCAGGCACAGTAAGCCTAGTATAGATGAATTGCTAACCATCGAGGAGCTCGCCGCCATCTACGTGGCCGAGATTAAGCGCCAACAGCCGGAGAGTCCGTACTTGTTGGGCGGGTATTCTGTTGGCGGAGTGTTGGCCTTTGAGGTCGCGCGACAACTTCTTGAAGACGGCAACGAAATCGAAAAATTGTTTTTCATAGATACTGCGTGCCCCACGTTTGTGCGTGACTTTCCAGACGCCTTGGTCAACTTTCTGGATTCCATCGAGCCGGTATTCGTGGAGAAGGGGCGCGAATCTCGAGCAACTCGTCGAGGCCAGCTGTTGGCAAGTGATCAGTTCCTTCTGGCTCGGCGGCAGATCCGAAGATATCGAGTGTGCAAACTGCCTGGGCGGAAGATGCCGCAAGTGGTGCTATTCGCCGCTAAAGAGGGAGTGGATAAGCAGAATCAGGTGTCTCGGCCCTCGGTTTCGCTAGAGGACCAAAGGGCGGTGAGCTGGTTCCTCGATGATCGCACCGATGAGGGATGGTTCGGATGGGACGCGGTTCTGGACGACGTGAAGATGGTCCGGGTTGACGGCAATCATTTCTCCATGATGTCGCCACCGATGGTAAGTTCACTAGCTCGAGCATTTCCGTTGAAATTGTTAAGGCTAACATGAGGGTACAGATCAGTGGATGGGGGGCGGAGCTTGCTAGGATGCTGGATAATTAGGCTACTCAGACTTTGTTACTACTAGCTGTGCATTGTGTTAAGATTAGAGGAGGAAGAGGATGAAACTCAGCCGTATGAGAAAGCATAGATACTGATAATGTCAAGATATTGGTGTGTGAGTGAACCTGCCGATACTGTATTTTTGTGTCTTCCGAGCGTAGTCTGGATTAGATTCACGAGCATACGTATCGTCCAACTAGGTTAAAGGAGCTTTGAGTCGATAGCTATTCAATAAATACCTAAACTTGGACAAGAAAAGGAAAGGAAAGCTGAACAATACTGTACAACTATAGTATATAAATAAATGCAGATAAGTACTCTGTAGCTCAGCTTCCAAAATATAGTATGACTACTTATACCAGCAGTGTTTTACATTATTTATCGTAGGCCCTGAGGGCGTAGAATCAATGCCCTGAAAGATCGCCCAGGAGTACACCTCATCCAGCAGGTAAAGATTCCATGTATGCAACCGGTATCACAGTGGATCAGGAAGTCTCCGCTGTACGTAAGGTGGGCCTGAACAGGGATCATTACCCGGTGTGGTCTGCGGAGGTAAGAGGAAATTGAACTAGAGATATTGACTCGAACTACTCCGTATACATGGTAAGAATAGGATCCCAGAGAAGATACCCAATCTTTGGAGTCGAGTCAGATTTACTGCTTTTTTGTGTTTTTTAGAGGGTTTAGGGGAAAAGTGAGCTTATACAACTAGTCTTCAGAACTACCTTTGGATCAGTCGACGCAAACATTTCAGGCTGAAAGCATATAATATCTGGAGAACAGTTGAGTATCTCAGCAGGCCATCGAATTTAGGGACCCTGTAAATAGACAGGCATTTATTTACAGTATTAACCCAGGGGCTCAGTAGTTGAAGAGCCACAATAGTTGCATATCAAGCCAGGAAAGTAAGAGTTTACAGCATTTCAATGTACATGAAGTAGAGATAGTGGTATTACTGCATATCATTTCAGCATTCAGGAAACTTTAGAAAACTGAACTGAGATATAAGTATAATGACACATCTCTCGATAGATGGCTGTAAGTGTAGCTATTTTGAGCAATAGTAGTTGCCTTCTTTATTCCCCCACATTTCCTGATCAGGCTATCAGAGGCAGCCTGTCGGTTCGACGCAGGATACACGTCACAATCGTTATATGACATCCTATTTCTGAGCTCGGATAAATTTTCAGGCGAGGAGCCAGCGTCTAAAATAACAACAACCCTCTAACATAAATCAGTGATCCGAATGATACAGCCTTGCAGCCAATCTGAATAGAATAGCCGCTTTTGGGTCGCTTCCACTGACATGCAGTCGGTTGAGAAATCTTGTCCGGGTGCCTCTCCGAACAAAGCCTGTCTGAAAGAAATCGGCTTTACACACATGGCAAAGGCTCATGACAGATCTTCATCAAGCAGAAAGACATACCCCTCAGATGTTGTCACAATGAGCATGGAATGAATACAAGTCTCTATATCATTCAGCATAACGACATATTTAGAACATGTGCAATTGTAGTCGACCGTATATCCTACTTGCATGTTCTCCAGATCCAGAATTTGAGTATCGACGAATAAAAACTTCCAATTCATGCTCTGATTACGATCTAAGCCTTCTCAGAATCACACGGACCCCTTTACTGCCCTTTTTTGCATGGGGAAGAATCATGTCACTATGCAATCGTACATCGTCCAATGTAGTATCGTATAACTTCATGTCGTACCGCCGAAAGACCGTGGCCACGGCCAGATACAACTCTGCAAAAGCCAGGCTACCAAATCGCTGTAAGCGAGCTGAATTAGTGAAATACAGAGAAAGTGTTACTTACTTTATCCCAATACACTGCCGAGATCCCTTGCTAAACGAGACCAGGTATCTGTTCAGCCTCTTCCTCTCGTTTAGCTTAGTCCATCTCTCTGGGATAAACTCGTGTGACTGCGGGAAAACTCTCTCGTCATGATGCATCAAAGCGGAGGACATGCTAACAGAAGTCTTTTGCAGTCAGCATATAAGCGTTTATCTCTATTTGGGTAAAACCGACTTACGTTGGGAGGGATAACAATATCTTTGTATTTGAGCGGCTCGATGGGACTGATTCGTTGTAGCCTATGAGGAAACCCATATGAAAGTCTACGCTAGTCAGAAAAGCCCCAAACGACATTGAGAATAGACATACCGTAGACTTTCGTAAATTATGCCCGTCTGCCAGTATCATCAGTCACATGCTCAGAGGCACAAGCCGAAAGAGACTCACCAAATACGGGAGCTGTTCGAGGGTCTGCAGATCCAATTCGACGTCCCGCGAAAACGTATTATCCAACTCCACGCGTAGCTTGCGCAAGATATGTTCGTTATTAAGAACATGGAAAGTGCACACCGTCAGTGTGTGCGCCGTGGTCTCGGTCCCCGCTGCTACCATGGTGATGAATTCATGCAACACGCGCTCTTCTGTGATATCCGGATTCGAAGGAGCCCGACTTATCAGCTCCGGGAGGACAGCTGGTTCTGAGTTTTCGGTGTGGCTGACGTGCATCTTTGACTGCTTGGACTGATTCCACATAAATACTACCTCCTGGACGCATTTCATCCGGAATTCCATGACTGGCAGCAGTTTGGGATACACTGCCGCGATACAGCGCGCACCAGTCTGAGCCAGTAGGTGGAAGAAACCAGGCAAGTGACGTGATAACATACCAATCTCGACCATATCGCGGATCGTCTGGTACATGGGTACCATCTCGGTAGTGTCCAGGTATCCAAAGGAACGGTAGCTGGTATACTCGGTAATTACATCGACCGTAAAACAACTGTAAGGCACTTCCACCTTGAGATGTTTCCCAGAGTGTGCATATGCATCTAACTGACTGATGAGCTTGGTGAGATTCCTCCGTATCAAAGGCTGAATCCGGTCAATGCGGGCTTTGGCAAAGTAGGACGCCGTTAAGGCACGTCGCGGTCGATGCAGTCGATGATCGAGGGCGGAGAAGGCCGATTCATCGACACCAAAATGTGAAGTGAACCAAGGGTCCTTATTGCGGGGCTCGTTGGTCGAATATACCGTCTCGTAATAGTCCGGGTCGTGAATATGAATTTCACGTGGACTGATGCGAATGACGGGACCTGTTTCTCATCAGCACAGAAGAATTTCTGCGTCTCGTAGATGGCTAATATCTCACACACCATAAATTTTATGCAGCTCCGCTATCTTGAAGGTGTATTGTCCATGACAAATCACGTCATAGAAGAATTCATATAGACGCGTGCAGGCAGCCAGCTTCGGGCCCGGGATATGGGCCAGCGGAGACCAGCACAGCTCATAGAGCGCGCGACTAGCCAGATAGACCGCCCCGACGGCGAAGACGCTGTATACAATGGTATCTACAGGCATGGCAAAGGGAACGGATAATAATGTAGGGCTTATACTGGCAGGTACCCTGGGTTGCGCGCATTTCTAAATACCGCGCTCTCTGGGGTTGTCGCTACGCCCACAGTACGACAAAGAGGACCATGACCAATGGCGTGCAAAAGGGATTCCAAATTAGGTTATGCAAGATAGCCCGCTGGTGGAAGATCTTTCGGCTATTGAGTGTGCTGATAGGATGTCAAGGAACGCTTGGACTGGTCAAGATCGATCGAGTGGACTACCTTTTCTTTCGGAGTTCGGAGTATACCCCTAATGCAGCCACTGACTGAAACAAGTCCATCGTCATCAAGCAGGTCAAGAGATCATTTCCCCCACAACCCCTTGAATACCACTTTCTGCAGATTCAATACTAGACATCACCTCTGATCGGTCACTCATGGCTTACGACACACCGCAAACGCCAGGGTTTCAATACGACGCACGATGTGAATGCGGCAGGGACCTTGTACTCGTGGCGTTATGTCTGCCTATCATCGAACATTTAGGCTCTACTTCGAGCGATTAAAAGTGGGTTTGCTCAACTGCATGCCTTACGTGTCTCGAGTCATCATGATTAAACCGTGCTTGCTTTTTCTTGGCCACATCTGGGTTATCATGTTTGAGCTGAGAGCCCCACTCTCTGGCGCAGCTGAAAACCTTATACTTCGAGCGCCAAAAGGCCTGCAATATGTTGATCATTTATTTACAGTTTCATGATATAGAAGGGCAACTTTGTTACCCACACATCCCGGAAGTAGGCTTATGGTTATTTGCTGGTATTATGGATAAAGTTGAGACATTTACTCTAGCCAGGCATCACCTGATTTTTCGACACTTCGGCCTACGTGGTCCGTGACCACCACCTCCTAGCTACCAGCTAACAACCATCATCTTGAGGTCTAGATAGATCATATACATTCAAATCCATCCCTTTCTCCTGTCTCGAGAGGTAATAAGCGACTGCAGTGCCCCACTCTCAGGCGCAGCTGAAAGCATTGTACTTCGAGCGTCAAAAGGCCTGCAATGTAATAATCTTGATCTGGAAGTGACGATTTTCTGAGCGCCGGTGGGAATACCACAAATGAATCTCTTCTCATCAGCGTCCCATAGATCGTCGAGGCGAGCTTGATACTGACTTTTCGTCTTGACGAAGTGGTCAAGGAAGCTAGAGATCTTATTAGATTGGGACTGCGTGATTTTCTTATGATCGTCAGAATGTAAGATCAAAGTAAGTTGCCTTCAATTGAGGATGGCAAAAGTCGACGACACAAATTTTTGCCAAGGGGCCCAAATCTCATGCTCAAGAGCTTGTATAAGTAAAACTTATTTATGTTATTAACTATAGTTTATTGTAATTTATTTCCGGTTCTTTGGGTCAGTTTCCGCGTCGCGAAGAATAAGAGGGGATGGCGGGAACCCTGATTCAAGCCATCGAACAATATAGTCACAAATTGCAGCTTCGCCTGTCTTACTGAGCTCCAGAGAAACCTGCAAAGCCCCAGGAAAGTGGTGCGCGGTCTTGTATAGAGCGGATAAACAGATTTGAATGTGGTACTACGTAGTGCGTTACTGCTTCACTCAGCGAGGCCACCTCGCCGGTCTTAAGCTCTGGGTGGTTTTATTTAATCTTGTCGCGAGCTGGACAATAGCCGGAGTCTCCTTTGGAATCATTTTTTTTTAAATAGATGAGCTGTCTCAGAAGGCGCAGAGGGAGACAGTGGTGGGGAAGATGTGTGGAAAGCGCCCCCGCGTCCCCTCTCCTCCTCCCCTCTCTTGTCTTAGTCTTACATTGAAATCAATAGCAGGTTTGAGGTATACGTTGCGTTACCTACATCCCATAATAATTGTGGAGAAATTAGAGGCAGTCCGCGCGAGTTAGCGACTGGCTTGAATGTTGAACGCGGTGTTGTATAAGAACTTAATTTGTGATTTGCCCGACAGTAGTGGTCTGCTTCCCGGTTTGGATATAATTATTCAATGAACATACAAGATACCCTACTCTAAATAGTATCTGGAGTAACCCTTTTTCTTTTCACACTTTGTACTGCTTAAAACCACTCGTTAGATATCATGGTAATTAGCATGGCCAAGATGGACAACGCAGTCACTACTAGCACGAGAAAACAGACAATACTTGTATAGTGAAATATATACCAAGTGGCAATCCATCTGTCGGCCATAAGAGTCTTAGAAGCCAATTCGACCTGCATTGTGCTCAATAGCAGAGAGGTCATCGCAAACACGAATAATATATGCCCATAGAAACGATTGAAGTAGATACTGTACTGGGGAGAGTATAGTAGTTGTTCTAGTCCAGTCCCCATAACTATTGTCATTGCCTGAGAAGCAGGTTTATCTATATTAGTGAGCAAAGAGAGCTTTCATTTCCCCTGTATTACTGTCAAGCCTTGAGTGTAATAGTTTGATATCTGTGAACCGATGGACAGATTAAGCACTGAAATAATATTTATGACCTGTTACCATTGCGAGCGCTAACCTGGTTTGGTGAGGCTAGGAAGAAGAATGAAAAGAAATCTCTATAGTAAAGAAGGAATGCCGAATTTTTACTTCTCTCTGGTGATCTATTATGTGCTTTAGTTCTTTGTTAAGGATCAGGAGGATATCGACTGTGTATATGTGCAAATAGACAACTGGCTGGAGTTGTCAGTAGTATAATCAGAGGTGACTGTCGACGGCCATTATAGATCCGGCTTGCAAAACAACGGAAAAATGTCTTGTAATGCTCTATTAGTACAAGAATCACAGCAACCCTTGAACGGCAGTATATTATCCACCGGACCAGGCATATGGAACCTTGAGCTACTTCCTCGCCTGAAGGGACTCGGAATTTACATCTCCAAGGATTGTGTGGTAGTGGTAATATCTGGTCTTGTAGGAGCGGCAATGCTCTCAGGGGGTTTTTATAATGCATTGTCTATCTCGCGGTGAGACCTCTACAAGGCTAGCATCTCTATACACACCCCAAGATACGGATTCTGTGAGTGACCACATATGACGAGCTTGTCAATAGGTAGTTGTGTTTATTGGGCCATTGTCGCGCTTGAGAGCAGGTGCGAGAGAACTAATGTAATACTTATCGCTTTGTATTAATGATGGCAATGGTGAAGTGGTGTGCCGATCAAGTCGCTATCGCAATTATGAAATTGATGTGTCAAGGTGTTTAAACTTTGGCGGCGTTCAGTGGCATATTATCCAGTGCTGGCAGTCCAGAGCTGTATCTGGCTGTACTTCTGAAGCAGTGTTTGGACAACTGAGAGGCGATCAATACTTGAACAGTGGATCTTGCAACCTGGTGGGGAAAGTGAAGGCCCAAGGAGGCCAGGCGATACTCAGAGCCCCTGCCAGCGCTTTTCTGAGTGGATTTGGACCTGACATCAGGTCGCTGATGTGAAATCTAAGCGCGTCTAGGGACTATTTATTATCTTGGAGTCTGGAGAAGGAAGTGAGTACCCCATTTGGGTACTGGAGCTTGGCATCGTGTATTTTAATCGGATATCCCACAAAAGCTTTGATTGTCTGTGTATGCCGGGTCATCTGACCTAACCTGTCTTTGGGAACAGCTGGTTGATAATGCCAAGGTCCCGAAGTCTTAATGCTCTCTGGCATATCATAACCTTTCTGTTGTAGGTGTGGGCATATAGATACTTTTCCTGTTCATTGCAGTTGTATGGATTAGATCAGGATGAGTAGAAAGGTCTATCTGTTGATGATGATGAATGAGATATTGGCCACTTGGGTGCAGGACCTTAGCAAATGTCCGAAAATTACTGTAAGCTCTAGAAGACTCTGTTGATACAGCAGTAATGTCCAAATCTTATTATGATACGCATCTCCCAGACGTTCCTGGGCTGGTGCAGTACTCTAAACATTATGTATGTTTTATATACACGGCAAGTTACACTCGCCCGGAGGAATCAAGACGTGCTATTGGAGGTTGCTGAGAGACGAGTCTGTATGGTTCACTATGTTTGAGTCCCCCGTCCTGTATCTCGCGACGCAGTTTCATACAGATCTTGTATTTCGTGGGACCTAGACCATGAATATGCATCCTATACATGACCCATGATGTAGATATTATTGAAATCTTTCTATATACGCCCCAAATGAAACAAGTCTTGTTCGACACTAGCGGAAGTTGCCAGCAATGATACTGGTTACTTGGGCTAAGTGCCACTCTACAGATATGCTAAGTTAGTATTTAAATTCTGAGTCCTTTCATGCAGTGATGAGAATCTAGTTTGAGGTTGTGTTGTTATTGAGACAGGAAAAATATTAATTTTTTTGTTAGTATGCCAGAGACTCGCGCGGGGAAGTTAATCTTTGATATACTTACTTAAATTTATGTATTATATGGTTTCTACAACTGGATTGCAATGATTAAGCTGGAAGAAAGATATCTTTGAAAAACTGGAAAGAGAAGAATAAATATTTAAAACTAGGCAAAAATATAAATAGTAGGTATGGGATTAAATTCTAGACTAGCCTAAAAGGTGAATACTAGCTGTAATCTTTTGGATTATATATTAGCTCTTTTTTCTAAATTATTCTGAAGTTCAGAATGTATATAGAGAGTCAAAAACAGAAAGAGAAAGAAAGATATTAGATGGTATGTAAATATTATAATTATATATTGGAATGTAATCTCCAGTAATTCTAACTTGTTGGCTCAAGACACAATCCCGGCCTTGGAGAGGATATCGCCACTTCTTGGAGTCGTAAGTGGTCTAGTTATTGTGGTCTACTGGGATGGGGAGTGTTCTGCTATTGATATGGATTTTGAAGATCCATCCAACGGAGGAGATCTGATGCTATATATTGCTAATATTATACTGGAACTGCTGCGAGAGCTCTCAACCAGTGATATGGAAGTTTATATGAAACCCATCCCTGGCCAACAGAGGCGATTGCACTGTTTTGTCTAAAATGTCTATAGAGAGCCAGGAGATGGCTATACTGCCCTGTGT